CCTTCCTTCCTTCCCTCCCTCCCTCCCTCCTTGCTTCCTTCCTTCCTTCCTTCCCTCCCTCCTTCCTTCCTTCCTTCCTTCCTTGCTTCCTTCCTTCCCTTTCCCTCCCTCCCTTCCTTCCTTCCTTCCGAATGACTTTCTGAACTCATTTATTCTCAGAGTGTGCCCCGGGGAATGAAATGAAGTGACTTCTTCCATCCAGGAGCACGACTCTGTTTTGTGATCTCTCCTCTCACCGCCACACACGAGAAAGATGGCCAAGGAGGTGGAGGCTGGGGTAGCAGGTGGAAGGGGTCTGGGGGCGAGTTGGGGGAGGGGTAGCGGGTGGAAGGGGTCTGGGGGCAAGGGGCTGGCTGGGAGAGCCTCCAGCCCTTCATGGCGAGGGGCTGGCTGGGAGAGCCTCCAGCCCTTCATGACGCGCACAGCTCCGTGCAGCTGGTGAATGATTACCGGGGCCCAGGAGCAGGGCTCAGGCGGGGACCCATCAACCTTTCCACCCCTGTGTCAGGACCGTGTTATACAACCACGTTAACAAGAGGGCTCCGGGCAATGACTGCCGGCGCGTGCTCACCTGCTGCTCCTTTCGACCTTGGGTGATGGCAATGGACTCCCTCCCTTTCTGCTCCTCCCCGAAACAGAAGCCAGCACTAGGATCTCTCTAGCTAGGCATTGCTGGGCCGTGTGTGTGTGTGTGTGTACAGGGGACAGAGGAGGCTCACAAGGCTGGGTTTACCGGTCGACTGAAGATGTTTTACACCCATAGCTCACGCCTGTCATCCCAGCTACTCCTCAGGGGGCTGAGGTCTGAGGATCGACGTTCAACGCCAGCCACGAGACTCTTACCTCCAATTAACCACCGAAAAAAGAAAAAAGAAAATAAGCCAGACGTGGAACTGAGGCCCCAGTGTGTGAAGGGCCCAAAAGGTAAGTCAAAAATACATCTCAAGGACAGACCCCGAGTTCAAGCCCGACTGTCTCACACACACACACACACACACACACACACACACATACACACAATGTCTAAAAACTGTCACATCAAGACAAATCCCCACTGTGAAATTAGCAAACAAATAAATGCACTCACTGATTCCAACATTCATGTCTCTCCCCCTTCCCCCCCCCCCACCTTCTTCACCGGTGTCTAATTTTCCACCCAGCTTGACTCAGTCTGTGAATCTGTGGCCTTGTCCGGCAGCTGTCGAGCCTGGATTTGCTGTCATGCTCCTGGGAAACACACCTGGCGCTTCCCTGAGTTTCTTGGTGAGTTCGGTCTGGCTTCCGATCACACAGGATGACTCCTTCTCCCCCTCGACACTCACGGCCCAAGAACTGGCCTTACAGCCAACTTCCCAAATGTGATGTGAAATCTCCTTCCTCCTCCCACTGACCCGCAGCAACGGCGGCTACTGAAACCCTGCAGACTCCCCCAGGGCGGGGTCTGAAGTCCCAGACAGCTTCAAGCTCTCCCGCGCCTGGACGTGGCCATGGCTGTGGATGAACTCCGCCTGAAGCTGGCCACAGAGCAGCCTGGGCTCAAGCCACACGAGACCAGAGGTACGTGGACGGGGGTGAGGTGGGGCGAGGGTCTGGGATGGAACCACACACAGCCGTAGCTCAGACCAGCACAGGCTGCTGGATGAGGCGGCCACTCAGGAGGCCCAGTATAAGTACTGACAGAGCCACAGGCCCGGGGCAGGGTGCGGGGACAGAGGCCCGCGCTCCCTTCAGATCAGCCTCCAGCCAGACCCAAGGGACCAACACCACGCAGGGAGATTAACTCACGGCGGTATTTTTGTATATTCATGTTTTTTTAACTATAACAATAATAATAATAGTTGTTGTTGTTGTTTGGTCCTGGGTCTTGAACTCAGGGCCTGGGCACTGCTGTCCCTGAGCTTCTTTGGCTCCACGCTGGTGCTCTACCACTTGAGCCACAGTGCCACTTGTGGCTTTTTTTCTGTGTCTGGAGTGCTGAGGAATCGAACCCAGGGCTTTGTGCGTGCGAGGCGAGCACTGTACCATGAGTCACAGCCCCAGCCCTGGAAGGGTTTGCTTCGCTCCGTGTTATCTAGATGCTGGGGCACACACCTGTCGACTTTTCCAGTTCCTTGAGGCTCAATTTCACAACCTCCGCTTCCTCTCCACCCTTTCCAAAGCGTGGCTAAAAAGAAAAAGCAATAATAGTAACCATGAGGACATGGTGGTTGCAATCTCAGAAAAAAAAAAGGGTCATGCACATTAACAAAATCCTCTTTAAGTAGTTGTACAGGAGAGCCACCACTCAACAGAGCGGGTTATGAGTATGGGGCCTCCGGATCCGTGTGACCCCACTTAACGATCCTCATCCAGCCGCCCCCCACCCCCGCCTTCATTTCCCTCCATTTTTAGGCTATGTATTGATTTATTTTTGTCAGTCGTGGGGTTTGAACTCAGGACCTGGGCGCTATCCCTGAGCTTTTCTATTTGCTCAAGGCCGGCGCTCTACCAACTTGAGCCACAAGCTCCATTGCTGGCCTTTTTTTTGGTGGTAATAAGAGTCTCACGGTTTTTCCTTCCCCGGGCTGGCTTTGAACCGCGATCCTCAGATCTCAGCCTCCTGCGGAGTTGGGCTGACGGGCGGGAGCCACGGGTGCCGGGCTGATGGTCTCCATTTTATTTGCTTCCCTGTGTGTCTTTTCTTAGCACTGGCTTTGTCAGTCACTCTCCTGACACTTTACGTGGATCCGTGGCCCGAGTGGTAGAGCGCCAGCCTTGAGCCAAAAAACCAGCAAGGAAGCAGGAGGCCTTGAGTTAAAGTCTGGGTGCTGGCTTGCACCTGTGTGTGCACACACATGCACACATGTTGCTCGGGGTGTGTGCACGCGGGTCTCAGTGCGGGTCTGTCTCCAGTGTCCCGGATGTCAGGCCTCCGCAGACTGTGTCAGGAGAATCTCACGGGTGTGGAAGGGGCACTAGCCCTGCGGCACGAGGCCCAGGAGGCCCAGCAGAGGCTGGAGGCCGCGGTGGAGGCCCTGACGCGGAGGCTGGAGCAGGAGACCAAAAAGCAAACGCAGCTTCGCCAGATGAACCTGCGTCTGCCAGACGCCCTGGACAGAGCCGCCAATGCCACAGGTGCTGTGTGCGTGTGTGTGTCTGTGAGAGAGAGAGAGCATGTCCCGGGACTTGAACTCAGGGCTTTGGCGCTGCCCCTGAGCATCTTTACACAAGGCTGGCGGCGTTCTACCAGTTGAACTGCAGCTCCACGTCCAGCTTTTTGCTGGTTCATGGGAGATAAGAATCTCAGAGGTTTTCCCATCTGGGTTGATTTTGAACTACGATCCTCAGATTGCAGCCTCCCGAGTCACCGGGATTACGGGCATGCACCGCCACGCACAGCCAGTCCAGAGCGAGGGTCTGCTGGGGCTCGTGTCCTGGGGGCCCTCTGGGTGCTGATCGGGCCCCCGTCCCCCCAGGCCCGTGCCCCCAGGACTGGATTTGGCATGCCGACAGTTGCTACTTGTTCCCCCCGGGGCTGCTGAACTGGGAGAAGTGTCGGCGACAGTGGTTGGCCCTGGACGCTCAGTTGCTGAAGATCAGCAGTGCGGAGGAGCTGGTAAGCTGCGAGGAGCACTGGGGGGCGAGCAACAGACGCAGCCGGCCGGGACTGGCGAGCGGCTGGGGGTGGGGAATTCCAGGGTTCAGGGCGCCTCCGGCCGGTCACCCCAGCTACTCAGGAGGCTGAGGGCTGAGGATCGCAGTTCAAAGCCAGCCTGGGCAGGAAAGCCGGTGAGACTCCCATCTCCAATCAACCACTCAGAAAAATCTGGACGTGGCGCCGTGGCTCACGCGGTAGAGCACCCGCTTGGAGCCAAAGAAACCCCAGGGACAGCGCTCCGAGTTCAAGCCCCAGGCTGTTTTGCTGATGGTTGATGACAAAGAGTTTCCGGGCCTTTCCTGCCCAGGCTGGCTCGGAACCTCAATCCTCGGATCTCAGCCTCCTGAGGAGCAAGGAGGACGGATGTGAGGCCCGGCATGGCCGGTCAGGCCTCACGACCTCTGACCCCTCTCCCCCGCAGGCCTTCATCCAGAGAGCAGCCTCCCATTCCAGCTCCCCCTGCTGGATCGGGCTGTCCCCACCAGAGCCCTCTCACTCCTGGCTCTGGGAAGATGGCTCCCCTCTGCCGGCCCTTTTGTAAGTCTTGCCCTTCCCCTTTAGACGGGGGTGGTGAGCTTGCCAGTTCTCACACCAACACTTTAGACCCCAGGTCCAGTCCAGGGGAGTCCTACATTAGTTCCAGCCACGCTCCCCCACAGGCCAAACAAAGGGAGCTGGTGAGGGCAGGGGAAGGAGGTGGATCCAGGGCAGCCGGGGGCCGACAGCGCCTGAGGACTCTCCAGCGTCTTCAGGTGCAGACACGGGCTTCAGGTTCAACGGTGAGAGTGGGGGACGGGGGTGGGAAAGGTCTGCTGAGTGACCCCAGCGCCGGGCCCCAGACGAGGCCTGGCTGACCTTGAGCGCAGTCTTTGTCCTTGGAGGAGATCCCTGGGATGGCTGTCCTGGGTTCCCGGGATGGAGCAGGAGGGAGGTGAGCTCCTGGGTTTGGGCTGTTTGCTTTGAGGTGCTCAGAGGAAGGCTTGGCCCCTGTGAGGGGCGGTTTGCCTGCCACACGGGATGCTGCTTCTCCCGGAATCTTCCAGAAGCAATCGCAAAGGGGCACCAGTGTTAGAGCTTGAACTCGGGGCCCGGGCCGTGTCTCTGAGCTTTATCACTCAAGGCTGGGCGCTCTACCGCGTGAGCCACGCCTCCCCTCCTGGCTTAAGACTCTCCTAGCCTCTCCGGGTGTGGGCTGGTTCTGAGCCATGTGCTTCATTCAAACCTCAGTCTCCCGAGTCTCCGGGACTACAGGCGGCCACCGCCAGCTCGGGCTGTGAACCTGACATCTCTTCTCTGTCCGTCTGTCTTCTCTCCCGGCACAGATTCAGGCTGCAGGGCGCCTTTTCCCAGAAGTACCCATCAGGCACCTGTGTGTATATTCAACACGGAGCATTTTTTGCAGAGAATTGCATCTTGGCCGCGTTCAGCATATGCCAGAGGAAAGCGTATTCGTGGGGGACGCGATAAACCGGAAGGTTCTGGAAGAAAAGGCCTTTGAACGCCAGTCTGCCGTGGAAGCCAGAAGATCTGCTAGTGAAGAGCTGCTCACAAAACCAGCGGCGCCGGATCCCAGGAGACCCTGGGGCGGTGGCCGCGTCCCACGGACAGCTGTGGTCGGCCGGCGCTGTGGCTCACACCTGGAATCCAGGCTACTCGGGAGGCTGGGATCGAAGGATCGCCGTTCGAAGCCAGCCTCCGCCCCTCCATCTGTGAAACGCCCATCTCCCACGGACCAGCCAAAAGCCAGAGGTGAAGGTGTGGCCCAGGCGGTCGAGCACCAGCCTAGAGTTGAAAAAGCAAAAGCAAACAGTTCCCCCCCACCCCGAAACAAACACAACCAAGCCCCCCAATGCGTCTTGTTGTTTGGCCTCACTAACTTCATGTTGTAGCAGCGTGCTGGGGGGCGAGCGTGGGTCTCGTTGTGGGTGGGGTGCAGCGTGTCCAGTGCTGACCAGTCCCTCTCGTGCTCAGGATCTGCGTATCTGCGGGCGGCGTGTGGATTGTGTCTTGTCTTTTCCTTGGTGCCGGTGGCGGGCCTTGAACTCGGGGCCCGGGCGCTGTCCTGGAGCGTTTTGCGCTCTGCCCTTTGAGCTGGCGCGCATGGAGATCAGAGTCCCGTGAACTTTCCTGCCCGGGCTGGCTTTGAACCGTGATCCTCAGCGCTCAGCCTCTCTGAGTGGCGGGGATGGGGGAGCCTATGGATGCACCTCGCACTTCTATTAGGGTCCAAACATCCTGGGGCTTTATCCTCAAGGGCGGGAACCAGATGCAGGGTCTGCAGTTCCTAAGGCCGGGCAGCAGGTGGCAGCATGGAACTGTGACTTCACACACACGTACACACACACCACACACCACACACACCACACACACCACACAC